CTTGTAGATCTGGCACCCAGTGAAGTCCAGGCCTCTGCTTCTGAAGGTGCATTGAGGCTGCATCCCTTCTGCAGAGGAGCCGTGGTCCATTCCTTACTTTGTTAGGTACTCATCTCACTTACAAGAGCTCTGTCCTTTTAATACTCTGGCACTGGGGGTTAAGTTCCCATTGTGAATTTGGGATCAGCATTGAGACTATTGCAGGCGTTTGCTCTTTGTCCTGGGCCATTCTGTGCATGGGGGTCAGTCAGTGGCCCCTGGCCCCACACTCCATGCCAGGGCATCCAACCATAATGTGATGACCCAAAGTGTCCCTAGATATTGCTGAATGTCCTGTGTGCAGCAAAGTTATCCCCTCCCACACGAGGACCTCTGACTTTCAGATATGAATACTTAAGAGAACATACTAGCAAAAATACTTAGAATATATAAAGAACTTAAGAAAATTGGACCCCCCAAATATAAAGACCCAATTCAAAAATGGGCATCTGAAATGAACAGACATTTCTCAGACAAAGAAGTAAAAGCAGCAAATAAACATGAAAAAATGTTCACCATCACTGGTCATTCGAGAGATGCAGATGAAAACAACACTGAGATTCTACCTCACCCCAGAATGTATGGCTGCTATCAAGAAATCAACAAATAACAAATGCTGGCGGGCTGTGAGGAGAAAGGAACCCTTCTCCATTGCTGGTGGGAGTTCAGACAGGTGTAACCACTGTGGAAATCAATATGGAGATACCTCAAAAAACTAGGATTAGAGGTCCCATTTGATCCAGCTATTCCCCTGTGGGTATCTTCCCATAAGACTTAAAAGAATTATACCACAGTGATGTATGCTCACCCATGTTTATAGTGGCACAATTTGTAATAGTTTAAACTTGGAAACAGCCTAATTGCTCATTAACTGGAGTCTGGACAAAGAAGATTTTGTGTGTGTGTGTGTGTGTGTGTGTGTGTGCACGTGCATATTTAATACAATGGAGTACTACTCAGTCATAAAGAGTGAGAAACTAGAGACTTTTGTAGTTAAATGGATGCACATTAGGCCATACTCTTAAGTGAAGTAAATAGGACACACATGTGTAAATACTGTATTCTCTGGTGTGAGAAACTGAAAGTGTAAATAAGGATAAAATATATAATAGATAATATGAAACAAGAAGAAAAGGTCTAAAGGGGAAGGGGAAGTGGGAGAACCAAAACATATCACATAAAGGTACAAATCTCCAAGGATGAATGTCATTGTGCTGTGTACGTTAAATACACCAATAAACTTAATAAATAAATTTTAAAAACTCGTAGTCTTGACAAGGACCCTGAGCAGTCACTCAGCTCAGAGGAGTGAGGTATCCTCCAACATCTGTGCAAGAGCCAAAGTCGGCCACGAGGAGGGGCACCCGGTGGGAGAGGGGCCCAGACGGAAGTGGGCTGGCCAGAGTGGACAACAGACCTCGGCAGCAGAATCTGTCGGATCCAGTTCACCAAACACTTATGTGAGATCTGGGTTATCAACAACACTGCAGTTCGTGCTTTGGTGTTCCTTTTGTCTTATGATATTTGACTCAACTAAGGTAAGTCTGTTTTCTTATTTCCTGCATCTGTTCAACACTCACAGCTGGTGCTTATTGTATGCATTGTATAGAGCAGAGTTCTTTCCATCCCAAGGTCTGGTGTGCAAGAACCTTCATAAGTGGGTGTTGATCGTGTTCCAAATAGATGAGGGGAAGTTGCCTGTGGGAGTGAGGCCATGGTGGAAATGAAACCACTGCTGCCTTTAGTCCTCCTGAGGTAGCACAAGTCATGATGGTTGATACCTCAGTGCTTGTGATGGTCCAGCCACACACATACCCTTATCTATGAGGAAAGTGCACTCAACACCCTAAATGTCTGGCTTTTCCTAGGATGGCTCGTCAGTGGGGCAGGATTTGAAGGAAAGGAATCTGGGGAAGGTTCACCGCACTGGCATTGGAGGTCTGTGGGGACAGGAACAAGTGCAGCATGGTGTGCGTCTATCCCACAGGGAGGGGAGTGGACCTGCAGCCTGCATTCCCACCTCTACCCTTTGCTGCACTTCCATTTGGCTGTTTCTGGCTTATTTTTCTTTTTTATTTTTTTTGAGACAGGGTCTCACTATGTAGTGAGACTGCCCTGAAACTCACTATGTAGCCCAGGCTGGTCTCGAACTCATGGAGATCCTCCTGCCTCAGCCTCCTGAGTGCTGGAATTATAGGCGTGCACCACCACGCCCAGCTTGTATTTTTTTTTTTAATAATAAAGCTAACCCTCAGTATAGCACTTTCCTGAGCTCTATGAGTCATTCTAGTGAATTATTAGGCCCAAAAGGTGGTTGTGGGGCCCCCAAATTACAGCCATTGTCCAGCAGTGAGAGTGGCTCCCGGAACTTGCTGCTTGTGCCTGCGGGGTTTGGGGAGCCGCTGCCCTTAACCTGTGGGGTCTGTGCTGAGTTCAAGCAGCTGGTGCAGGAATGAGCCATCTTGTGGGCCCTGGCTGGCCTCAGAATCCGCTGCAGCCCACATAGGCCCATCAGGCCACCCCTTCTCACTCTGATTCTTTTCTCTCAGTGTGGAATAAGCGAGTCGTGACTACATTTTCTCAGCCTCTGATGAGTCTTGCTGAGGTGTCATTGTGTCACCAGGCAGTGTGGGACCAACTTGAAGCCAGACAGCTCTACTTAGTGACTCCAGCTGTCATTTTGAAACATAAAGTGACTGAGTGCATTACTGAGCAACTTCCAGGGTCCCCCAGAGTACCCATCTTGAGGATCTTTCCTCCGACTGATAGGAAACGGCTTTCTCTGCAGTCTCCCCGCTGCAGCCCTAACCCAAACTCAGACCAACTCTCTGCTGGTTCCACGGGAATTTCCACCTCTGTCTTTTGTTGGAACACTTACTTCAGAGCTATCTGAAATCTCTGATTCTCAGATTGCAATCCTAAGACCCCCAAGTAAAGCTAATCAAAAGCTTCATTATTAGCTCAGCATAGTGGTGCCTTCCTATAATCCCAGGATTCTGGGAGGCTGAAGCAGCATCCTGAACTCAGGTCCAACTCTGGAAACTTCACGGTTTAACAAGACCCTCTCTCAAATTTAAGAAAAAGACTCGGAATGTCATTAAGTGCAAAGGTCCTGAGTTTAATCCCCAGTAAACACACACACACACACACACACACACACACACACACACACAAAGACTTCATGATTGATTATTGATTGACAGTAGGATGAACAACTCCTGGCTTGCTCGGGACTCTCTTGGTCTCTTCCTCCTCCTTTTTTTCAGTACTGGAGATCAAACTCTTGGTTTTAAACCCAGAGGTCCTGGCCTCCGGTTTCCCCTCCAACCTGGGAAGACAGGGACAGGAGTCTCCTGAGGGTCAAAGCTGAGCTCCAGAATCTGGGGACAGTTGTCTAGGCTGCTCCAGGGCAGGACCCACAGCTGGCTGGGCCTGTGGGAGGCTCATCATCTTCCTCAAGCACACGTGAGCTGTAAGCATCAGGGAAGCAGCTCTGAGGCCATAGACCAGTGGTGGCGAACCTATGGCACATGTGCTATTTGTTTTTCTTTTAAGACAAAAGATGTTAATGTGTGAGTTGTTTTTCCTAAAGTAAAACTTCAGTGTTCAAGTTTAATTGCAGTGTTGTCCCTTTGTGATAAATAAGATTCTGGGTTGCAGTTTGGACACTCTTCTCTAAAAGGTTTACCATCACTGCATTATTGCAACCTGCAGACAGTGAAGTCATTGCTGAAGGGAGAGGAACCAGCCCTGGAGCAGGCTCAGGCAGGAGTGGGTGGGCTCCTATGTGGGCCAGCACTGGCCTGCCAGATCATCTCTCTGCAGCAAGTGCAAAGCTTAATGAGCGCAACAGCTCAGGGCTCCTAGAAATAAACATTCCCAGGTGCTATCTCCAAGTGTTCCGACTTTGTAGATGGGAGGGAGAGAAGCCAAGGACTCTACCTCTCTACCACTGCTGGTAGTGAGTGGTATGTGGCTATTGGGTGGGGAGCTGCGGCCTTAAAGTAAGAAAGGATGCTTCTGTCTCTGTGTATATGTGGTAATTTCACATGGATCTAGGCATACTTTTGTTTACTCTAATTTAAGCCCTCACAGCCATTCAACTCTTGAGATGGCCTTAATTTCTGTGCTTTTGCAATTTTTCATGTGAATAAATTTGTAAACTAGATAATATTCTTTTGGGGGGGTACTGGGGATCAAACTCGGGTCCTTGAGATTGCAAAGCAGGCCGTGAAACCACTGACCTAAATCCCTGGCCCTAGATTATGGCAAGCCATTATGGTGAGCCTTGACACAGGCCTAGCCATGATTGAACTTTGAGTCACCTCGCTGGCACGGATGTGCTCTCGCCCATAGCCACGGGCGAGTTCAGCTGGTAGCAGATGTAACCCATAATGGTTGTTATTGTTTCCCTCTGGAATGTGTGGGCGGTACTCTCGCTCCCGTGCAGCCCTCGCTCCCATGCAGCCCTTGCTCCCATGCAGCTGGAGAGTATAAAAGGAAGAGGTTCTGTAATAAAGCAAGCAAGGAACTTGAGAAGAAAGGTGCCTCCCATCTGTCTGTCCTCGTCCTTTCAGGTTTAGGACCTGCTGGCAGGATCCTGACGTCGCGGCTCGCGACACTGGATAACAGTGTTTATCAGATTTTTAAAATCTTTTTTCTTAATTGGAGGAAAAGATCAGTGACCGCCAAGGAGAAATGGAGGCCTCAGAGCAGTGTCAGGGTCACAGCTTCTGCAGCCAGCCTGAGGCTCAGGGACTGGAAAATAACTTTCTTGGGACTGCCTTCCTGGGCCTCCATGCTATTCAGACCCCAAATGCAGGGCCAGGAGAACAGCAATTGAGCAAATTGCAGCGAGCTTTAGGTGCATAATCTCCTGTGAGTGGTCCATGCCTTCTCTCTGTTAGTTCTGCTTTTAGAGTTCATTTCCATGGCATTAGCTGTCTCGGGTTTCTTTTTTCCCCTAAGAAAGAGGCCATTAGAAGCAGGAAAAGGCAGAATCATAACAAGTCCAAATGAGGGTGCTTCTGGGATTTCATGCACCAGAAGCATTTGATTTCCTCCTCAAATCTTGAATTGTTCCCAGAACCTTCCAGCTTCTGCCTCTGCTCTGTGAACTCCCTGAAGCAGATACTACGTTTGTTGGAGCCATTATCAGAGGAAAACAAACAGCTTCTGCCTCCAGCTGCCTGCTTCAGTGTATGCCAGAGACCTTGTGAGATTTTCTGGGCTCTAAGTGGTGCTCACTGCCTCTCCACACCTGCTGGTCCTCTGCTCCCAAGGTAAGTGATGTATTCGTCCCAAGGCCTCAGAGAGTCTTATTGGCTATCTATGTTGCGTTCAGGCCAGTTTTGTCCATTTTATAGACAGTGACAATAAATCACCCCTGCTCTGAAGAGAGAACACTCTCATGCCCCAGCTGAGTCAGACAGGTGTCTCCTCTGAAGAGGCGCAGGAGGAATGCCACTTGGTGAGACTGAGCTCCCAGCACAGGGCTCGTCCCTGGAGACCCGTCACTCTCTGTACTTCCCCTCTCTGGAGAGAACCTGGGTTTCAGTCTGCTGCCTTCTTCCTTTGGCCATGTGTCCTGCTCCCTGATTTTCCTTTGGAGGTTCCTTTCATAGTCCTTTCGTGCCATCTTCATGGGCCCTCAATGGTGGAGTGGTGATGGGACCTTTCTACTGTGCACTTTCACAGGTGGAATTCAGCAAAGATACTTTCCTGAAAACCGATTCCTCCACATTCAATGGTGTCTGGGCTTTTGGAATCAGGCAGTGATTTATGGCTTTAATTCAGGGAGTTGTCCCTGCTGTCATTTTTCAGAGGACAAGCTCAGCTCACCTACGCCATTGGTGATCTGGGCCCCATCTGACTAGCCGCTCCCTGGAACCTGGTTTCACAGATCCTCAAACAGGGCCAAGAATGAGAAACTTAGGGAAATGGGGTCTGAGGGTAAAGAAAATATGTGACCTCAAATAGAAGAGGAAATGCCAAAATTGGGGAGAAAAAACAGGGAGAGACCAAGGTGAGACCATGAATAAAGAATTCCAAATGAAATTTTACTCCTTATGCCTTTGGTATAGGAAGCATGAAAATATTCCATGCAGGGAGCCATGAGGCAAGACCAGGGCAGCCAACCTCCTCTTATGATGCTTTTTACAAAGAACTAAAACCCTTCGATTGTTAATATTGCTAATGTTTTAAATTATAGTGTGCCAGATAATACTATAGTTCTGTTTTTTATTTCCTTATTTATAACTGACGGCAGAAGAGTCGTGCCTTAATACCTGCTTTTGAGAGATTTTCAGTCACGAAATAGTCATGATTTTCCCATCAGGCATTTGCAGGCTTCGACTGCTGTGTTCACTTCTCCAGTCTGGGCTGCTGTGCACAGGCTGCAGGTGCACAAGTGGGAGGAGGCTGCTGTCACAACTTCAAGTGTGTGTAAGCTCTGAGTGATGTGCTCCTATAGGGAGGTCTCTAGGTGGGTGTGCGTGATTCAGAGGTTGGCAACTGGCCTCCTTAGTGCTGAGTGCTAGATGAAGCCTGATCTGTCCCCGGTTCTCTCTAAGAGTCTGCTAATTTCTGGGGTGCAAGCTGGAGTAAGGTCCCCATGCTTCTTGGGACCTTTGCTTCTGAGCTTCTTTAAGGACTGCTCAGACTTGGGCTCCTCACCTCTTATTTCCATAACAAAGAAGTCCCTAGCACCAGGCTTTCCTCCCTTCCCTTCCCTTTCCCTTTTCTCCCTTCCTTCCCTCCCTCCCTTCCTTTTACTTTCTTTTCTGGCAAGGCTGGAAATGGAACCCAAGGCTTTGCCATGCTAAACACACACTGTGCCCTTGAGCTGCACTGTCAGCCACACTGAGTTTTCGAGTTCAGTCAACTTCATCAAGAATTTGGGAATCTTAAAGAGTCACACAGAAGGAACAGTTTTGTGCCCTTCGTTCCTCCCTTTCCTCTCCTTCACTGCTCTTGGAACAGTGAATCCCCTTTCCTGGGATATTCACAGCCCCCTCTCCCCAGCTCTCGGGTGTAGGGGAGCTAGGGATGCTCCCAACTTCCACTGACTTCTCATATTCCTCTGTCTTTCCTAACAAAGCCTGCTGTCTTCCTGAGAGTGGTTCTGGTCTCAGCTGTTAGATCTGTCTATCTATCTAGATACAGATATATTTCACATAAGAAGGGAATTGTATGCATGCAGATGTTTGCCTTTGGTGAGTTTTGTGGGGTCGCGAAGATTACAGATGTTATTTTCTTTTTCCTTTTGTATCATGAATGTATTTTATAAAATGTGCACAATTCACGTATATTAAATATTAATAAGAAAAATTATTAGCATAGGCTGTGAGAAGTTCAGGCAAAGGCAAGGCCATGCGGGGTGCTGTGGGGACGGGGCCTGAGGAGGCATCGGATTCCCATGTAAGGCAACGTGGCTAGGCTCCATTGTGCTCCTGCGTTAGGAGGCTGGCTAACAATTGCAGCCATAATTCTAACAGTTTTAGCCTCTTCTGTGAGCTGTGGTCTCATTCTCCCCCAGTTTACTGCCCTGGCTTCTTCATCCTGCTACTGCAGAAGAAAAACCCTCCCTTATGGTGCATCCTTGACTTTAGCTATAACCTATTCTTGGCCTGACACAAAACCATTTAAAAATTGCCTGCCTATGTTAGAATGGGAATTTAATGGCCCACTCTGCAGAAAGCCATTGAACACTGTAGTGGCTTTAGAAGGACCCATGAGTTAGGACCAAGAAGGGCACTGTGCCTGCCACCTGCCTCCTGCTCCACTCATCACCCCCATCTTATCCTTGGGGTTTCCTCTCCTCACAAGTGGGAGCCGTGGTTCTCTTGCTTTGAGCTGCGGACTCCGGTGTCAGCAGCATTCTCCAGCAGTGGGACTTAGAGCCAGGAACTTGTGAAGGGGACAGGGCCACGCTAGGGCGTTGGATGGTGGAGGGCAAGGGGATAGGTTCAGATGTGCCTCTCAGCCCTGCAAGCACAGCCAAGTGAGAGGGCAGGAGCTGGAGGAGGGACACTGCCTTGGGCCCGAGCTCATCATCAACCCACTCCTGACTCACAAGAAAGCCACAGACGACAGCCAGTCCTGCCCTGGGACCCCACCCCGCCTTCCCACATTTCTCCAAGGTAGGCCCACACGTACAGACTCATTTCTGCCTTCCATCCCTCCCTTAGCCCATCCAGCCTGTGTTCAGCCCCACAGCTCTGTGTGCAAGTGAGGTTGTGCTTTCCAGGTTGGGGACCATGTCCCACCCTCCAGAAGTTATTTTTCATGTCCTGCCTGCCCTGGGTCAGTGCTTAGGTCCCATTTTCCAGCTTTACCTGCTCTGACTCTTGGCTCAGCCTGTGCCTGGCAACCAAAGCTATGAGCTTGGCCATGATCTTGACTTCTTCCAGGCCAACACTGCAGGCACCAGTGGGATCAGCCTCTTGTTTCCAACCCTGGCACTGAATGCTCATTAAACCTCCCATGTGCCCTCCTATCACCTCACCTGCCCTCTGCTCAGGCCACTGCTAACTGCATCTTGCTATAGAGTTCTAAGGTAGCTGTGTTGTGGGCTGCTGATGGTTCTGTGAGATTTGCCTCCTGTATCTTAATGGTGGCAGTCCACAATCACTTTCTTGAGTGATTCATCTCTCATCCCAGGCTCTGCGGGGATAGGTCCCAGGACCAGAGGAGGACTGACTCCTGGGAACAGCTGTGGACTCTGGAGCTAATGGTGCTGCGTTCTGTGTTCTTGTAACCCCAGTAATTCAGGCTTGTTCTAACCAGTTTTATGTCTGCGGAAGGATGTGCTGAAGCCTCTCACAAGGATGGCGTGTTTATTGGCCACTCTTTGTAGTTTTATCCATTTTTACTCTGTGTCATCTGGTGTGTTCACGCCCCTTTCTCAGTGTTGAGCTCTGCATGGAGTCTCGGGAGAAATTACTCATTCTGACGCTTCAAGAGTGTGCTCTTTCTGCCTCCTCATCCAGGCATTCAAAAGGCTATTCCCAATAGAACAGCCCCCAGTTGGTAGGTGCTGGCTGCTGAGAGGCGCTTTGAAAATCGAAGCCCCCATTGGGCCCCCACAGTCAACCCTGATCTGGGCAGTGAAACTCCATAAACACGGGGGGAGGGGCAGTGACCCCTGCTGTCCTGGAGTTGTCATAGGGGGCAAAGCAAACACCCAAAGTAGAAGTGGGGAAATATGTAGCAATAGATCATGGTCAGGGCTCAAGGAAAAACAAAGCAGGAAAAGTTTGGGTAGAAGGCCTGGATTGCAAACGGGGATTGAAGAGGAAGAGATGGTGTCCGGGTGTGCAGGAGCAGAGATAGCCCAGATAGGGGACACTGTAATCCACTAAACTGATGACTCCTGGATCCACAATGAAGTAAAAAACCCCAGTACCATCTCTTCGCTAGGATGGAAAAAGATAGTTCCAGAACACGTCACTCCCGGACACTCTCTTCCCAGAAGGGCTAAATTCCCAGGCCCTATGATTCTTTCACTCCCCACAGGCACCCTGGTGTATGTGGAGTCAAAACAATGGCTTCCATCATGGGTCCCTGGACTCAGAGGTAGCCTCATGGCCAAGGTCAGCCTGCTGGACACCCTCAGGGACAGGACAGAGGTCCTGGCTGAGAGCACCTTAGGGAGCCCTAGGGAGTGTGCAGCCTGGTGAGAATGGCCCTAAGGGAGAAGAACAGCAGCTCTCACTGCTCTCAAGTCTTCTTGAACAGAAAAGGAGACAGCTGTTTCCTGGTGCATGGCCTTCTGCTTTTAGGGTGCTGTGGTCATGCTTGGACACAGAACGGTAGAGGCAGTGCCCCTACAAATCTCTGCCAGAGTCTCCCTGACCAAACATTGCCCCCGTGGGGTCGGAGCCTAGTGTTCTTGTGACCTGTAAGTGACCAAACTTTATTTGAGGAACTTTTTATTTTTTTGTGGTCTTGCTGTATAGTTCAGGCTGGTTTTGAACTCACTACATAGCTTCGAATGCATAGTGATCCTCCTGCCTCAGCTTTCTAAGTGCTGGGACTATGGGTGTAGGCCACCAAACCCAGCCATTTGTAGAACTTTGTGTCAGTTTTGAAGTTCACAAGGCTCATTCTGTTCCATGAGAGAGCTCTGTGAGTTTTTCTGTAATTACAGTGATTTTCCTAAAACATGTCAAGGAAAATCAATGCCCAGAAGGGGTGGTATATGTAGCCCATGGCTCCATAGGGCCCAGGGTCACTGCCTCATGGCCTGGCAATGTCGTCCCCTCTGAGAGGCACAGGTGGC